ACTGGGTTTTAGCTAAACCCAGGACAACTATTTTGGTTGTAAATAGGTAACCTATAAGAGATTTAAAAGCAGCAGCCGTTATCTTGATGCTGATACGCTTTACACGTGTGGATGAGAGCCTACCTGATTCGTACGTCCGTAGTGTCTTGAGAAAACTTGCCTCAGTGGCCTAGCATCAAATTTAAATGGCTCATGATCAGTTTTTGCTCCTGTTCATGTCACCGGGAGTTCTTTTCTGCTGACCTCAGTGCAAGCAATCTCAGGCCTTACATAGCCATGACGAAGCTACACAGTGCAATGTGTAAGCAAACAGAGAACTCTTTTGAGAAACTGTACCTGAGAGTGTTTTTTTTCTTGAGGGCTAGTATAAGTAAGACTTGAAAATAGTAGTTTCTTGAAAACAATTCACTAATAAAAGTGTGTGAATAATACTTTGTTTGCTGAAGCAATTAAAGTGTTTAGGAAGGGCTCAACTCTTCTTTCTGATCCTCTCATAACCCAAGAACAAAGTCTTTGTTAAATTTTAAGACATCAAATTCATTCTGCACTGCATAGGGAACTCGACAAAGCAGACAAAGGAAGCGAATTTGAGTTTTTAGAAAAGTCATCAGTTTTACTAGTATCACTAATAGCAGTAGAGCATATATTGTTGCAATATGAAAATGCTGTGGTGCTGTATCTTGTGCTTTGACATTATGCTGGTGATCTGAAGGAGCCAGGAAAAAATGCTTCGTCAGATAATCTTGCATAAACATATGCCCCAACATATTTTAAAGGGGGTTGTTTGCCTGTCGAGGAGTAGGTACTGGCCGTACTAGAAACAGGGTATCTGACTGCTCAGGGCAAAGGACAGGGTAGAAAATTAGGCCAGTCTTCATAAATTGCCATAGCTCTGCTCACTTTTCTATGTTAAGTCAAGGCTCTGCCAGTTCATATCATGAACTGCTCTCTGTAAACTATGCAGCATTAATGAGTACCTGCAAAACCAAGAGGAATCAGTAGGTTTGTCTATGTGCAGTCACTGTAGAGACCATAAATTAGATAACAAATTCACTGTGAAAGCGTGTAACTAACACAAGCTGTGGTCCGAGGAGCTCTTCAGGAGCCCCACGTGGAATTAAATCTAATTTAAGTGTTTTTCCTGTCTTGGCAGAAACCATATGTTTGCAAGATACCGGGCTGCACGAAGCGCTACACAGACCCCAGTTCTCTCCGGAAACACGTGAAGACGGTGCATGGCCCAGAGGCACACGTCACCAAGAAGCAGCGGGGAGATATCCACCCGAGGCCTCCACCACCGAGAGACCCAGGCAGCCACTCTCAGACCCGGTCGCCAGGCCATCAGACTCAGGGTGCTATTGGTGAGCAGAAGGACCTCAGCAACACTACCTCAAAGCGTGAAGAATGCCTCCAAGTGAAAGCAGTCAAGTCGGAAAAACCAATGGTACGCAATACACCGTGCCACTCCCTTCGTCCTTTTTTCTTCTTGCAACCAGCTAATAATCCCTTTTTGAAAAGCTCAAGCCCGTAAACTCTAGCTTATGAGGTTAGGTTTTCTGAGGTTTTCTTTTTCGTTTACATTTTACAATGTTTTTAAAGCCTTAGGAGTAGCAAATAAAAAGATTACATCTAGTCTGTGCAATAGGCAGTAAGTGCAGTGTTGGCAACTCTCACAATAATTGTTTCTCTTAAAGCCTTGTCTTTTGGAATCAGCATATTATGAGAAGTTCACAGTTTTCATTTTGAGAAAGACATTTTTTCCACTCTCCTGTTTACAGAAGAAAGTTGGAGGATGTAAATCCTGCGGGCTCAAACCAGAATGTGAGAAAACCCAAGTCCGAAAGAATAAAATGCTGACAGCAGGAGGAGATCTTTTGATAACATTTGATCTCTATTGCAAAGTGCCTTTTTATGCTAATTTGGTACTTAATTTAACTTGACAAGGTTAACCTAATTCCAATTTAACTAAATTGAGCTAAGAGTCTCTACAGGTCTATTCACTGGTTTACCTCAATGTATTACGTTAAACCAGTATAGCACTGAACACTGAAAGGACCTTATTCCATTTTTTGACATGCTATTTTAAATAAAGAAGTTTTTCTTTCATTTGCCTGCATTTCACATGCCATCCATCCTCCCCACCAGAGTTAAAACTACCAAAGGCAGTCACTCCATTTTCTTCCACATCTGGGTCTACAATTCATCTGGACCCTACCATTGGGGAATACAAATATGAGCCCTGCACATTCTGTCATATTGTTAATCATGCTGCAATTCAAAGTGGTTGCTCATTGAAATACAAGTTACTGCTATATTGTGCCTGAAGATTATGCCCAAACTGTGGAGTATTAATTCTGAATTTAGAAACTTCCAAGGACCCAGAGTTAACTGCTGCAGAAGTCTAAAGGATCTGCTCTGCTGTCTTTGGTGATAACTACCTTAGATTTTGAAGGAACAAAACCCATTCCTCCCTTGCTTAGCTGGGTAGATCCATAGCACTATTGAGGCATGATGAGCACGGACGGTTTTAACATGAATAATATTTGCAAGAGAGGGGTGTTAATGCTGATTGCTTATGTAGTATTACATATTTCCCACTGAAAAATATCTTCTAAAACAATTCTGTATTTCCTGTTTTTAATTGCTTGTATGAATTAAGATTATTTTCTATTTTTCAACTAATCCAATGTCTTTTCTGTCTAATGCTCTTAAATGTCTTGTTCTAACTTCCTAAGGACAGTGGGTAATAAGGTGAGGGCATTTTAACTTTTCTGCTGTTTTTCTTATTACAACATTATTTATGTCTTTATTTTAGCCTTCTGCCTGGTGTCCAATCATTCCTTTATTTAGTAATGTGCAATCCATCAAACTCATTCCCAAATGTAATGTGCTGTGAGCATTTTGCAACACTCCACATGTGAAAAATCTGGTGCATATTGGTGAAATATCTCCAGAAATGTCTTTGTACCTTCCCCTCTAGATGAGACATCCATTTTTTTCTGTATTGCACATCCAGAAATGTATGTTCCCCATAATATGGTTCTTTCTTCTGTATGCTGCCTCACTGTGATCTTGACATATGGCTACAAGAACAAGCTTCTGACCATTATTACTCTTCTTTCATATGGCATGGAGCTATTATCCAGAAGCCTAAACTCTTTTCTCTATAATAACTGCTATTTCTGTTCTTGTCACCAAATCTGCCATGGCCAGGATTTGGAAATGAACTTGCCTGGTGTGGCCTCATAAATTCTAAGTATCATCCTTCAAGTTAGAAATAATACAATAGTTATTGCATCTTAATGGACTCCTCAGGGGCATATGAAGCTACAGTAGTGCCGTGCATCTGTGTCTTCATTCACTGATGGTAAAAGTGAGAGTCATCACTGCTACCTAGCATTTGTCAGTAAAATGTGCATAAAAATCACAGACTGGCAAAAAAAGAAGTAATTAAAAAAACCACATCAGAAACACCAGAATTTAAATACTTACATGAAACTGTTCTTGGGAGCAAAATGATACTGCATGCTCCACTGATTTGTGGTCACACTGTACAACCTACAGTGAGATATTACGTCCAGAGACCTCTGTCTGTCTTGCTGTTTTGTCTGTCATTCTATCTGTCTGAGTATTTCGGCTTGTCAGAGAAATTTTCCCATTCTTTTATGAGAACTTTATGAGTATCAAAAATAAATCAAGCCTGTGTTTCCCCACAGTAAGAATTCTTCTAGAGCAGCAGGGAACACTGTCTGTTAAGAAAGCAGAAGCTATTGCGACGGATTTATATCCCCACAGATTAGTTTAAATTCTTAAATTTAAAATCTTAAATTACAATGAAGCGAGGGATTTGATTCAATAGGTCATTGCCTTCTTGATTCAGAGCAAAGGTGGTGTAAGTTAGGTATAAGAAGAGAGATAATTTGGACCATAGTGCTGCTTGGGTCACAGGACACTGGTAATATGATACAGTATTTTTTGCACTGATGCTTTGTCCCTGTTTTATTACTTGCCAACATTTCAGGCCAACCGCTGCTTGTAACAATGAGCCTTAAGCTTGGAAAATACTTACATTCTTTAGCCACAAGTCTAATTAAAAAAAAACAAATTCCAGTGTTGTTGGAGTCGTGTTTGTTTGTTTCTTGCTGCAAGCCTAGCAGTGTAAATGAGACCTCCTAACATGGCTGAATTCTGCTTTGGTTTGTTGAGCTGCAGCTTCAGTTGGGAAGAGCTCATACCCAGAGTAGTGGGTCCATACGTATGTGTTCACAAATGACACAAAGTGATAGAAGCAATTACAAGAATAGCAAATAAATGTCTCGTGTAGACGTAATGTATACTTTCAGCAAAATGCTAAAGTGAATTTTAATGTTGAGTTTTGCAGTGGCATTCATTACACTTTAAATCAGTTTGTAGAAAGTCTCTTGATGAATAACGTGTCATCCTCTAACGCTAACCTTTACATTTGGTTTTCTTTGGCTTTATTTAGACCCTCATTTGCTGCAAGTGCTATTGTTACCATCAGTTGCTTAATCCTCACGTTGTTTTTATGTCTTACTTCGCTCCAGCAGACATCTCAGCCAAGCCCTGGTGGTCAGTCTACATGCAGCAGCGAACAGTCCCCCATCAGCACCTATTCCAACAATGGGATCGAGCTTACTCTGACCAGTGGTGGTAGTGTAGGAGACCTCAGTGTCATCGATGAAACCCCAATCATGGACTCTACCATTTCCACAGCCACCACAGCACTTGGCTTACAGGCCAGGAGGAATATGACAGGGACCAAATGGATGGAGCAAGTGAAATTAGAAAGGTTGAAACAAGTTAATGGAATGCTTCCAAGACTGAACCCCATTCCACCTTCCAAAGCCCCGACCTTGCCGCCTCTCATAGGAAATGGTGAGATACACGTAATGGGAGTGGTAACACTTTTTGTCCTTAAATTCGTTGCTTGCCAGTTCTATCTTGCAACACTTGCCAAAGAGTAGTGTGGCTTTTGACACTCAACAGCTGTGAGGATGGTTGGTAAATTGGCCACCTTTTATCACCTGGTTACAAGTACTACTACCCACCCTGAGAGAAGTCTAGTAGACCCATTTGTTACAGAATAGAGGCCAGCAAGGGCTTCACATTTTAAATGTTTCCTACAGTTAAAGGTTTGGGCCCAAGATTCATCACAATCCTGTCTTGTTTTGAGGCAAGGTAGATTAAATAAATACCTGCCAGTTTATTGTGTGGAAGTCTTTCAGATGAGGCCTTATCAAAACACTCTTTGCATAGACACATTGGGCTGCCCTTTAATTATTTAATTAAACAGTCTGTTTAAACTGTTTCCACACATAGAAGTAATCCTATGTACAGATACTACTGCTGCAACGGGCAGGTATCCCTGAATGGAAGCAAGGCGAGGTTGAACTCTGAAGATCCACGGTTGTTTTCATACAAGGAGCTGCTCCTTGCCAAAATGTATGTTGCTGCTGCTGACAACATGCCTGTAGGTTTCTGCGCTCCAGCCAGCAGCAACAGCCCAGGTTTTCTGAAACGCGTTCAGTCGAAAGAAACTATGTAAAATTAAGAAATGTATTCTGTTTACTTAAAAACAAAACAAGGAAACCAGCAAAGATGTTTTGCAGTTGTTCGGAGTTGTTTCAAGAACATTTCAAGAAGTCTTAGAAATGACCTTGAATAGCCTCCAATTTGTATATTTTGCCATTCCATGCAAATGCCTGTTCAATTATATTTTGCCTATAAAAAGCTCCCTTATGAATGTGTCCTTGCGGCACATCAGTCAGCATAGCTGCACACTCCCCCAGCCAATGACAGTTTGTGGCTATGGCCTATAAATTTTGTGCTGGGTTTCACACTGAAATATTACCCTTGAGTCTCTGAATTAGCTTTTAACCTAAGGATATAGTTTCTATCCTGACTTCTTTCAAGACAGAGCACTGCTATAATTTGCTGTGATGACTCAGGGTCTTCTTTTGTTCCCCCCTTCCTTCTTTCCTGGGTGTTTCCTATACCAGTTTCTGGGTGATGCCTGTTTGTTTAACTCTGAATTTTACCTCCAGGTACCCAGTCGAACAGCAGCTGCAGTGTAGGAGGATCCATGACCATTTTGCCGAACAGGAATGAACTTTCAAGTACAGACATCACTGTGTTGAACATGCTGAACAGGAGGGACAGCAACACTAGCACAATCAGTTCAGCCTACTTGAGCAGCCGCAGGTCCTCTGGGATCTCACCTTGCTTCTCCAGCCGGAGGTCCAGCGACGCCTCGCAGGCAGAGGGAAGGCCTCAGAACGTGAGCGTTGCAGACTCCTATGACCCCATCTCGACAGATGCCTCCCGGCGCTCCAGTGAAGCGAGCCAGTGCGATGATCTGCCAAGTCTTCTCAGCCTCACCCCGGCCCAGCAATACAGGCTGAAAGCAAAATACGCAGCAGCTACTGGTGGTCCCCCACCAACTCCACTGCCTAACATGGAGAGGATGAGCCTCAAAACAAGGATGGCACTCTTGAGTGACTGCAGGGAGTCCGGAGTATCTCCACTGCCTCCAGTGAATGCCCCTCGAAGATGTAGTGACGGTGGGGCAAATGGTTACAGCAGGAGACATTTTCTGTCTCACGATGCCCTAGGAAATGGGACAAGGAGAGCCAGTGATCCCGTAAGAATGGCCTCTGACAACGTCTCTGTCCCTAGAGTCCAGCGTTTCAACAGTCTTAATAGCTTTAACCCTCCTGCTTTGCCTCCATCCATGGAAAAGCGCAACCTTGTTCTTCAGAACTATACCCGTTCTGAGGGTGGCGTCTTCCGCAGCTTCAGCTCCCCCTGTCCTCCAAGCATCAGTGAGAACGTCGCCCTGGAGGCTGCTACCATGGAAGCAGGTGGCAGTCTGAATGATGAGGATCTCCTGCCAGACGACGTGGTTCAGTATCTGAATTCTCAGAACCAGGGCATGTACGACCACTTGTTGAACAACATCCTAGACAGCAACAAAATGCATCACAGCTCAGCGTTAGGAAACAACAACCCCAGCAGTTTTGACCAAGCCCCTCCACCAAGCAGTCAGCAGGCAGGTTCCGAGGCAAACAAGAGCGACTTGCCCATTCAGTGGAATGAAGTAAGCTCAGGAAGTTCTGACTTATCTCCTCCAAAACTGAAATGCGGCCAGCGCTCAGTGGTGCAGCAGAGTCGGGCCTTCGGACTGTATAACAACATGATGATTCAGCAGCAGGAGCTGGAGAGGAGCAATGTGGCCCAGCAGAACAACTATCAGAACCTGGTAGAGAACAGCAGCTCCTACGGTTTACAGCCAAACATGGTTCTTGGCAGTGGAGCCAGTAGTTCCATCAGCATGCAGCCCAATAAGCCTTACAGCGAAAACATCGTCAGGCAAGCAATGATGTCTGGGGCGACGGACAATTCCTGTGGCGTCACAGTTCAAGGGCAGAAGCTGAGAAGCAGCAACGTGCCAGTGAGTGGGAACCAGCCAAACTTCGGCCATCCCATGGCATCCAGCGAGCAACCTGCCAGTATGGCAAATGGGATGCAGAACAGGAATATGATGGAACAGGAATATTTGCAAAATCAACCAGTCGGAGATGGTGTTCATTACCAGGGAGTTAGTCAATCCAGTCAAATGATGCTAGGGCAGGTTAGTCCTACCTCACAAAGCAGCCTGTATCAAGGGCCGCAGAATTTTCCACCAGTGTCTCACACGATTGGTAGCCAGCCTTCGGGTTTGTTGGTGGCCAAAAGTTACCAGCCGTGCTCTAATTACAGCGGCAACAGGCGGCAGAACGTGTTGAGAAACAACCTGGCACAACAGCAAGGACACATGAGTGATGGCAACCAGACATACAGGGTAAACAACGTTAAGATGGAGATGCAAGGTCAATCACAGCAGTTCTGCTCTAACGTGCAGAATTACTCTGGTCAGTTGTATGACCAAACCACGGGCTTTAGCCACCAAGCTATGAAAACAGGTTCTTTCTTTGGTTCGGAAGCTAACTGCCTGCTGCAGGGGACTGCGACTGCAAACTCATCCGAGCTTCTTTCCCCGGAGGCTAACCAAGTGTCGAGCACAGTTGACAGCATCGACAGCAACAGCCTAGAGGCTGTGCAGATTGATTTTGATGCTATCATAGATGATGGGGATCACGTCAGCTTGATTTCAGGAGCCCTGAGCCCGAGTATCATTCAGAATCTCTCCCGCAATTCTTCACGCCTCACCACTCCCCGAGCGTCTCTTACATTCCCAGCTATGCCCGTAAGCACAACCAACATGGCTATTGGGGACATGAGCTCTTTGTTGACCTCACTTGCAGAAGAAAGCAAGTTTCTTGCTGTTATGCAATAGACATTAAAGAAAAACAAACCTTAGGAGATAACAGATGAAAAAAAGACTCATATTTTTTAGTTGTGTATGTATTTTAGCAATCTCATCTCACCTAAATGGGATGTGTTTCAAGTATATTCCTTTTATGGAATAAGGACTCTGAAAACCCTAAAGTGTTCTAGGGAGAAACTGTCTTCCATTTCAGTTTTGAATCAGTATTGCTACACCCATTCCCCGCCCCGCCTTTCCCCCTTTTTGAATGTCTGTATGCTTCCTTTTTCTTTTTTTTTTACTTGTAAACCTATGTAAACGTGTGAAGTGCATGTTTTTGTTTTGTTTTGGCTTTTTTTTTTTTAAGAAAGGTCTGATGAAATGACTTTCCAATTTTCTGTTAATCAAGAGAAACTAGGCCTTGTAAAACCATTGCAACTTTACCCCCTGAACATATAGGCACAAAAATAACCAGGCGCAATGTGAAGTGAGCATACAGTGCTGAAGTCGTCTCTGGATGCATCAGGTACATCACACTGAAGTGGGCAAACAGTTTACAAATGCACTGCCATAGTACTCCCAGGCTGTAGTTTCAGAGAAAAGGAGCACAAGAAATTAGGAGGTTCAGGCAAATAAGAAATGTAAAAACCATCAGCCCTTTGATCCTTAGCAGATGTTTAAGGTTTTTGTAAACACACACATGCAGAAAGCTGCCACTGCCTTCTGTAATGACAACTGAGATTGGTCATGTTTAATCCATTTTAGAGGAAGTAGAGGACCATAAAGCTGTTCTTAGTCCAAGTTCCATCTTTTGCAGTATTTGGTATTCTGTTTTTCAGCCTTCTTTTTTTTTTTGTTTAAGTGACTGGATAGTAAAATTATGGGCATGTTTGATGATTTTAGGGTAGTCTATAATCCTTTCATTGCATACCATGTTTGTGGAGAGATGATCAGCATTTTACAGGTATTTCATATAATGAAATAACAGAATTGCAGTATTCCATACTGGGGACTCTTTGGTTTTTTTAAATGCAAATTGTTGAGCTGTAATTTACTGAGCCACTTGATCTTATTCGCAGTAACGATTCCTTTGCTGGGAGAACTGCCTTGTGCATCCCTTTGAGCACATACAGCTTTGGGCGTGGATCATATGTTTTAAAATAAGTAAAAGCCCATTGACATAACACACAGTTACGGCTTCAAAAGCTTCATGGTCATGGCATGTAAAACAACTAGAAAACTAATGGCCCAGTTCTCCAACAAGCCAAATAAAATCAAAGTGATTGCAAACACTCTGATAATCTTAAATGTTTTTCCACTATATCCAGGCTTTACAAAATGGAGAGATTTAAACTGCCATTAAAAATAGCAAAGAAACAAGTGGAAAAACAAGTATGCCTGGCAACTAATCAAAAGTCATAAAGACCAACCCAACCTCTCTCTCTGTTTTGGTGACACCAGCATGAATTTCACTTCAAAGCAAACCAGGGAGTCGATGTCCAGGCTCAGTTACACCAGCAACAACTGGAACTAACACATTGCGGTTGTGAAGCTGCTCACTGGTAGAGGTGAGTGCCATTTGCTCTGCAAGCACCGGCTCTTCTAGTATGTTTTTTTGCTGGGCTGGGCTCCATGTCTGCACCCCTGAACACACAGTGTCCCTGGGTACACAGATTGGGATGGAGAACAGTTGCAAGACTTAATGTTTAAATTCAGCGACTCCTAGAAGCTGCATGCAGGTCTGGCCCTTGCAAACTTCTCAGTTAAATGCCGATAGTAAAATTCTGCTACAGGGTGTAAATGCTTCAAACAGGTATAGTAATGGATATGATGTCTGTAAGGAGCTGGTATTAAGTAGACATACAGTGAGAAGGGGGAGTGTGCTCAGTTTTGAAATACAGATAACCTTTATCACAGGCAAAGTGAGAAGTAGCACCAGAAGGTGATCTCTGTAGGCTAGAAGGCCATAGCACGCCTTTACTGTAAAAAATGGTGAAATACCAGCTGATTCAGGGCATGGCATTTGAAGAATGTATAGGAATACAACCTCAGTAAAGATGTTGGATAACCTTGATCTCTTAACAGCTGTAAATCAGCA